GTGAGCCGAGATCGCACCACTGCACTCCAGCCTGGGCTACAGAGCGAGACTCCATCTCAGGAAAAAAAAAAAAAGTGCGACAGAACACTCTGTATAAAATAGTGTTATAAAGTCAGGCTAAACACGTTAGAGTACATACTGGTGGGTTTTTAAAAAGTGTATTTTAGGTAATTATGATTAATCCTTGGTAAATCTAGATCCATAGAGTGGTGACTCATTTTAAAAGACCCTGGTTTTCTGGATCTCCCTCCTCCCTTTACTCAGTGCCTTCTTTTCTTCCTCTATTTTAAACTATGTTTTCCTGATTTCTCTGCCTTGATAATCACTCAAAACAAGAAATCAGTAAGGGATATCTAACTTTTAAATCAAAAACATCATAGTCACATTTAAATTCCTGAGAACCCAGCATTACTATTCAATCATGGTCATAATGAACTTAGTAATTATTAACCCTGGCCCTCTAATTACACTATTCTACACCCCAGTGATAAAGGCATTAAAAAATGATGATTTAATTTGGTTCTGGTCTTTTCACTTGGATGTACAGTATACTGACCTGAATCTCATCAGGACTGACAAACTGAACTTGGAGCAAAAGAGAATCTACCATTTAGGCAATCAGCATACAGTTTCCTTACATTGTCTATAATTTATTTCCGCTTTTTGTATGATGCTCCTATGCTTTTCCCACAGAGCTAGGAGCCCCACAAAAATAGAGACCATCCTATTTGCCTGTTTGTCTCTGTCACTCCAGCACTCAGCACAATGCCTGACACATTGCAGGTAATAAAGGATACATAGTGAGTGAATGAAGTGCACCTGGAATCAAGTAACACATGTTCCAGATGAGCTTGGTGGGGGTCAGATTGCACTTATATCGGACACGGAAAGGGTCTGTTACCTAATTTGAGCTTGCCTCTATGTCTGTGGCAGTGGGGGTTGGATAAGGTCTATTGGTTGTGAGACACAGTCTCACTTGTTACTGTAAGTCATGTACGGAGTATGTGTGAGTGCGTGTTCATGTGTGTGACAGGAATCTTAGCCACAATGCCAAGTCATGAGAACATGAAAAGCCAAACTGTGGGACCTTGAAATGTTTGCATGTAAATGGTAATCAGATTCCCAAGGTCTGGGAATTCTACACATCTTTGCCGTAGAAGCCTATGGCCCCCTGCTCCAGCACGTAGTGATTCTGCTGGCCCCTTATGCCTTCTCAATGCATCGTCTGCTTTCTTCTTCCAGTACTTCCTAGTTCTAATTCTTTTTTTTTTTTTGAGACGGAGTTTCGCTCTTGTTACCCAGGCTGGAGTGCAATGGCGCGATCTCGGCTCACCGCAACCTCCGCCTCCTGGGTTCAGGCAATTCTCCTGCCTCAGCCTCCTGAGTAGCTGGGATTACAGGCATGAGCCACCATGCCCAGCTAATTTTTTGTATTTTTAGTAGAGACGGGGTTTCACCATGTTGACCTGGATGGTCTCAATCTCTTGACCTTGTGATCCACCCGTCTCGGCCTCCCAAAGTGCTGGGATTACAGGCGTGAGCCACCGCGCCCGGCCCCTAGTTCTAATTCTTGACTTAGCTTATAACCATTTTCTTTCTTTTGGGTAGAGCAGTCTATACCAAGCCCCATTCTAAACCATAGTGCTGAGTCAGGAGCCCAAGCCAGTGCCTGGAGGCGGGGTACTTCCTCTAGGAAGGGGCTGCAGGCTTTGTAAATTCCATGACTGCCATGTCTAAGATTCCTAATACCGCTCACTGGGAGCTATCTCTGAGATCTTCACTGGGACCAGGTGTACTTGCCAATCATATCTACTGGGTGCTAATTACCTACTTGGCGTTTATTTTGTTTAGAGCATTAGAATTAGCCTCATTGGAGGATACAAAAAAGATTAAAGACTATGTAGATTCATGTCTGAATTCAAGGTGATTCAGTCATAGAGACAGTGTATGTGTTGGTGTGTACGTGGCGGGGGAAGCACTTTCTGAAAGAGCTATGTTTAGTGGGAAAGGATCAAATTCAGGTTGTTATCTCGACTTTGCAACCAATCGTGTCTGTGACTATAGAGAAGTCACCTTTTTTCTTTTGTTCTTCTTCACTTGTTAAGGCTTGTAATACTTCTCTTGACTGTATAGAAAATTGTTAAAATACTATCCTAAGGCTGGATGCGGTGGCTCATACCTGTAATCCCAGCACTTTGGGAGGTTGAGGAAGGCGGATCACTTGTGGTCAGGAGTTTGAGGCCAGCCTGGCCAACACTCTGAAACCCTGTCTCTACTAAAAATACAAAACTAGCCAGGCATGGTAGTGCAGGCCTGCAATCCTGCTACTCGGGAGGCTGACGTAGGAGAATCACTTGAACCCAAGAGAAGGATGTTACAGTGGGCTGAGATCAGGCCATTGCACTCCAGCCTGGGCAACAGCGAGACTCTGTCTCAGAAAATAAAAACAAAAACAGAAAAAATACTATCATAAAATAATTGTTAAATTCAGATTATTGTGTGGGTAATGTTGGAACATAATAAATGTTTATTAGGTAGAATCTATGCAAATTTAGAGTTCAATTAAATTTGATGGGATTAAAACTCTTGTGTTTGCATTTAGAAAAGTAGATTATAAATACGGTTGTGGTTCGGAATATTTGCAGGATTAGGGCTGACAGTTCTGGCCTTCTGCTGCCCTCCTGTGCTGTTTAAACAAAACAGCAGGTCAATTACATTCCTGCTTCATGAATGTTCCAAGATGTGGGAGGGTAGTCTGTCTCATTACTAACCCTCTTCTGTCCTCCGGTGGCCACAGGGCGCCTAACTATTTAGGATGTTTCTGCTTCTTCAGTCAAGAAAGGGAAGGAAACTACTTGGAAACATTCCATCAGACAATCTAATCCTGAGTTAAGGAAAAAGGTAACTAATCGTAAATTGCATTTGACGATGGAGATATAATTGATTATATCAATTATATATTATGGAGACTAATTGCCTATTCTTGTCAAGCCTATTCTTGACAAAAAGGCTTTTTGTCAAGAATAAATAGAAATGCATCTTATTGCCCTTTAAAAACTCTGGGAATTTATAATAAAACCTTACACGGTTTATTTGGAAAATAAGATAATGTATTATGGTGGGAACAGAAGATGCTGTTCTACAGTGATTTTCTAGGCAGAACATTAGCCAGTTGAAATGTGGGACTCACAGGGAAAGCTAATTCTTTGCTAAGTGTTTTAGCATACCCTGCAAAACTGGTTACTTTCAAAGATAAGGTCATTTGTCAGCATGGTAAATTTTTTTTTTGAGTTACCCAGACTGGAGTGCAGTTTGCATGTTCATGGCTCACTGCAGCATTCAACTCGGGTTCAAGAGATCCTCCCACTTCAACCTCCCCAGTAGCTGGGACTACAGGCACACACCACCACACACCCAGCTAATTTCTGTGTTTTTTGTAGACATGGGGTTTCACCATGTTGCCCGGGCAGGTCTTGAACTCCTGTGCTCAAGTGATTCTTTTGCCTCCACCTCCCAAACTGCTGGGATTAGAAACATGAGCCACCAAGCCTGACCGGTATGATAATTTTTTGATGACAGTTTAGAAAAGATATTGAAGGAAACAGTGTAAAACCACGAAATAAAAGAGTGGAGGAAGGCCGTCAATATGTGGCACCTTTTTAATATGCTTGCTTCCCCATCAGCCAGCCCTCACCCTGGCCCCAACCTGACCTGTTGCCAGACTGGTTTCCTGATCAGAACCCGTCTACCCTTTGCTTACAGTAGGAGTGTGTGTGCATATTTTATTCATGTGGGTATAAGCATGCATACACAGGACTTTCTCTTTTTAAACCACCCCAGTCAGGCTTTCACATCTTTACCAAAACTCCTCTTACAAGTCACAGCTCACTGCATCCTCGACCTCCCTGGCCTCGATAACCAAATGCAATGGTCAGTTTTCAGTGCTCATCTTACTTGACCTATCAGCGGCATTGGAATCATCTGACCCTCTCCTCCTTGGAACACTCTCTTTACTTGCTCCCTGGCTCTTCTCCACTCTGCTAGGGGCTCCTTCCCTATCTCCTTTATTTACATATTTCTCGTGATTTCTAAAAGCTGTAGTACCCGAAGGCTTACTGCCTAAGTCTTTTCTATGTCTAAACCCACTCCCTTGGTGATCTTACCTAGTCCCATGGCTTTCATATCATCTAAATGCCATGCATTTCAAACTGTGTGTCTCCGGCATAGACCCTTCTGCCCTGCCCTCATATATCCATCTGCTTATCACCATCTCCATTTGGATGTCTACGGACATCTCAAACTTAAAGATGACCAAAGCAAAATTTGTTTATCTCTCAATCAGCCCCATCTCAGCAACTGGTCACACCTTTCTTCAGTCATGAACTCTTTCTCACACACACAGACCATTCCCAAACCTTCAGCAAATCTTTTTGGCTGTACCTTCAAAAGACATGTCTATCAACTCTCTACTTTTCTTTTCATGTACACTGCTACCACCCTGGTCTGAGGTCCATGACCCCTTATCTGGATTACTGCATAGTCTGCTGTCATAAATGCTGTCCCTACTTCTCTCTTGCCTCTTTAAAATACTTCTTACTCAGCAGTCAAAGTGACAAAAGTTACCCAAAGTCAGATCAAAAAACTCTCTGCTCAAGGTTGATGTACCTCAGTTGGCATAAAATCCAGTCTTTACCGTGGTTGGGGTCTCTACTTCCTTCCTCTCTGACTTCATCTCCTACTCCCCAGCCCCCACTCACCATATTTCCAGCTTACTACTTCCCTTATTGTCCCTCGACTATCCCAGGCACATTCCTACCTCAGAGCCTCCGGATTTGCTATTTCCTGTGTCTGCAACACAAAATTACATGGTCCCGTCCCTCATTCCATTCAGGATTCTACTCAAATATCACTGTATTGAAAAGTCCTTCCCTGTTCATATAGCATGTGCCTTCATTACTCCCTGTGCTCTTAACCAGTTGATTTGTCATGTTAGCACTTACAGCAGCGTGGCCTCTTACGCTTATTTACTTGTGCGTTGTCTGTCTTCCACACTTGAGTGTAAGCTCCGTTTCATGACAGCAGGGACTTTGGCTATCTTTGTTCTCTGCTGTGTCCTCAGAGAGTCTGGCATCTGGTGAGGGCTCATTAAAAATTTAATGAATGAAGAAATGAACAAATATTAATGTGGATAATTATTCAGAGAGTTGGTCAAGAACATCAAGTGGGTAGTTTCCAGTTTTGTTTTACATGGAAGTTTGTATAAACTGAAGACTAAGATCAAAATCAGGGGAATGTTCTCCTTTATGTCTTCTCAATGTAAAACATAGAATGTACTTGAATATGGTGGATTGGTAGTAAATATGTTTATTGTTCCAAATTCCATATTTATGTATTTATTTTTTAGAGACAGGGTCTCGCTCTGTCGCCTAGGCTGGAGTGCAGTGGCACCATCATAGTTTACTGCAGGGTCAAACTCCTGGCCTCAAGTGATCCTCCCACCATGGCCTCTCAAAGTGCTGGCATTATGGGCAGAAGTCTCTGTGCCCAGCCCAAATTCCATATTTTAGTCATAGAAAGTGTCCATGTATGTTTCATCCGTAGAAATTAAATTATGTGTGTGATCATGAATCTAAGTTTTGCTATTTATTCTGTATACTTTTTTTTTTTTTTTTTGAGATGTGGCCTTGCTCTGTCTCCCAGGCTGGAGTGCAGTACCATGATCACGGATCACTGCAGCCTTGATCTCCCTGGCTCAAGTGATCCTCCTATCTCAGCCTCCTGAGTAGCTGAGACTTCCAAGCATGTGCCACCATGCCCAGCTCATTTTTAAATTATTTGTAGAGATGGGGTCTTGCTGTTTGCCCAGGCTGGTCTCAAATTTCTGGGCTGAAGCAATCCTCCCACCACGGCCTATTTCCTGTTCTTATGATGCTGGCAATACTGGTAAACTTGCATTTGTTCGTTACATTTTACGTGGAAATGAAAATTTTCATCTAAGTAAAATGCCTGATGCATTTTTTTTCTTTAAATTTTGACCCCGCTAGATTAGTTTTAAACCCTTCTTGAATCTAATTTTTTCAAAGGTGCCATTTTTCCAGGCATTTGAGTCCCATTTCCCGCAGAGCCTGTGTTTTATGAATAGTGCATTCTAAGTAAATTAAACCAGTGAAGCCTTAGTGATATAATTGCAAACCCATCAAGTCACTGCATCTTCTACAATGGATTCCGGGCTCAGCTTAAGTAGAACTGATAAGTACACTAGTCCTAGTGCCTTCTCTGCTCTCTTTTGTGGCTTTGGAATGCTCAATTCTCTATTTCAGGGCTTCATCTGCAAGAGAGGATAATAGCATTTGCCTCACAGACCATTCCCAAACCACTTGGAAGGCTGAGGCAGGAGAATCACTTGAACCCGGGAGGCAGAGGTTGCAGTGAGCCGAGATCATGCCACTGCACTCCAGCCTGGGCGACAGACCAAGACTCCGTCTCAAAAAAAAAAAGAAAGGCACTTTCAATCTCCATTCTACATTACATCATTAGTCTCTGCCTTACACCTCTTACACTTTACTTATTGAAGTTTCTCAAACTTGATTCCAAATTTTCAGGAGAAAAAATTTGGCTAGCCAAGTTTAGGTCAAATAACCACCTCCTCTCCCCTTGACTGGTCAACTTTGGTAAGGGAATGGGAATAGGGTTTCAAAATCTGCTGTCTTCCAGCAGAGGTTATTGGAACAGAGTCTGAGAAGGGAGTACAGGACAGTTGAGAAACAACGAGTGTTGCATACCTCAAGTGTGATGTATAAGAATTAAGAATACCACATGTGGCTGGGCGCGGTGGCTCGTGCCTGTAATCCCAGCACTTTGGGAGGTCAAGGCAGATCACCTGAAGTCAGGAGTTTGAGACCAGCCTGGCTGCAACAACAAAAAGTTGAAACCCTTTTTCTACTAAAAATACAAAAAATTAGCTGGGCATGGTGGCGCGTGCCTGTAATCCCAGCTACTTGGGAGGCTGAGGCAGTAGAATGACTTGAACCCATTCCAGTACCTGAGTAATCGCTAATCTACTTAGGATCGGACCTGGCCATATGATTAATGGCACATTTATAAATACGGATAGGTCTCAGAGACCCCCACCAATCATAACATCCCTTCACATTTTGTGTCAGATGCATGTCTCCAGTATTGTCTCTTTTGCCCTCTTTTTATTTTCTTTAAAACAGAGTCTCCCTCTGTTGCCCAGGCAACAGAGTGCAGTGGTGCAATCATAGCTCACTACAAAGTTGAACTCCTGGGCTGAAATGGTCCTTCTGCCTCAGCCTCCCAAGTAGCTGTGACTACAGTGTGCAACACTGTGCCCAGCTGTTTAAAAAAAATTTTTTTTTTGTAGAGACAGGGTCTTGCTATGTGGACCAGCCTGGTCTTGAATTACTGGCCTCAACCAAACCTCCTGCCTCAACCTCTCAAAGTATTGGGATTGCAGACATGAGCCACTGTGCCTGGCTTTCTGTTGCCCTCGTAAGGGACATACCTTTTCATTCTTTCTTTTCCCTGGGGATTAAGTTAATTTCAATGCTCATACTGACTGTAATAAACCAAGTTCTTCACCTTCCCTATTCCCTATCTCCCAAACTGTTCCCTGTGCATTAGTTAGGAGTGATTTGAATGCTATAAAAAATGAGCAGTGGCTCATGCCTGTAATCCCAGCACTTTGGGAGGTCGAGGCAGGTGGATCACAAGGTCAGGAGATTGAGACCATCCTGGTTAACACGATGAAACCCCATCCCTAGTAAAAATACAAAAATTAGCTGTAATCCCAGCTACTCAGGAGGCTGAGGCAGGAGAATTACTTGAACTTGGGAGGTGGAGGTTGCAGTGAGCTGAGATCGTGTCAACGCCAGCCTGGCAACAGAGCAAGACTGCATCTCAAAAAAAAAAAAAAAAGGACCCAAAATGTAGTGGTTCAACAAAATAAAAATTTATTTTTTCTCTCAAATCAGGCCAGGGACCCAAGATGCGGAGGGTAGCTCTGTCATCTTTAACATGTGGCTTCCAAGGCTGCTCTAGTACTCTAGTATTCACCTTCCAGCCCATGAGAAGGGGGAATGAGAATGGCTGATTCCGAGGGGTCACACGGCAGGTTTTATGCACTAGGCCTGGAAGACACATATCACCTTTGCTTACACTTGATTGGCAAATGCTTCATCATAAGGACACACCTAATTGCAAAGGAGACTGGGGAATTTCATGTTGATGGGCAGTTGTATGCTCAGTTATAATTCTGACACTGGGAAAAAAGGTAACAACAGATGTCGATGGACTGGATCCATCAGTCACTTGAGAGGCTGAGGCAGGAGGATAAACTTGAGCCCAGGGGTTCAAGGTCATAGTCTCTCCTGTATTCTCCTTCTCCGTTTCCTCTCTTAGCTAATGGCATTATTCTCTCAAATACCCACGCTTGAGTCCTTAAATTCGTCCTCCCTTTCTCCATCTCTCCCAATCCTCTCATCTGGTCCAACTACCTAAGTAACCCTGAACTCGTTCCTTGCTTTCCATTTCCTCTACAGCACGACTTAAATCCATCCTATCTGTTGCTTGAATAACTCATTAGCCTCCAAAATTAGCCCCCTGTGTCAGTCTCTCCAGGCTCATTACACCCATCCTTTACTCTGTCATCAGACACTACTTCTGAACTCAAAGATCTGGTTGTCCAAGACAGCTTGGGCCCCTTAACGTGCACCTTCCCCCTCACAGTCAAGGCTGGAAGCACCCTATAGAAAGCATCTGCAGCTATACCTTTGTGGCTCAGGAGATTATGGCAGACAACTGCCTCCTGCTTTCTGTACAAAGCCCTGTCCTCCTGGGCTCAGGGTTCTCTGCCTCACACTTGAACACCACAGTGGGACTGTCTGCCCAGCTTTTCATTTAGCCCTGTCCCTAGAAACTGCCTCTCATATCACCCTCAGCCCCATCTTCAGCAGGTCACTCCATCTCTCAAATCCAAACTCCATAGCTCCAACCCAGGCCCAGGGCCCAGGGCCCAGGCTTGCTTTTTTTGTTCAGGAGGAAAGTCTGGACACTGATCATCCTCTTACCATAAGCTCCATCAGTTTGCAGTGCTTACTGAGCAACAGATTTTTTAGCATGCCATCCATGGCCAACCACTGTCTGATCCCATCCCCCCTCACCACCCCTACCAGTACAGCCTTATCATCATCATCTTGACATTTTCTTATTCTTCAAGATCTGACTCATGTATCACCTCTTCCATGAGACCTTCCTCTTTCTCCTGGCTTTCACTTCATAGCAGCATGTTTTTCCATGTATTGCTTTCTACCTCTAGTTTATTTGGGATGATGTCTTGCACTGTCACCCAGGCTGGACTGTGATGGCATGATCATAGCTCACTGCAGCCTCAACCTCCTGGGCTTAAGTGATCCTCCCACCTCAGCTCTCCGAGTTGCTAGGGCTACAGGTGATCCTCCCACCTCAGCTCTCCGAGTTGCTAGGGCTACAGGTGCAGGCCTGGTTCCTATCTCTAGTTTTTGTGCACATGGTATATACTCCCCACAGGCAAGGACTGTGACTTAAACATTTCTTTACTTTCCATGTTGTTGAGAATAATGCTTTGGACGATACCTTACATATAATATTGATCAGTGCTTAAAACCTCCTAATGCCCCAATGGCTTACCATATCACCAGGTCAATGAGAAAAGCCCTATTTACACCTACCTGATCCTATCTGATCCGATGCTCTCTCTCTCTCTCTCTTTTTTTTTTTTTTTTTTGAGACAGAGTCTTGTTCTGTCTCGCCCAAATCAGGTCAGGGACCCAGAGTCTCGCTCTGTCTTGTCCAGGCTGGAGTGCAGTGGCATCATCTGGGCTCACTGCAATCTCCACCTCCCAGGTTCAAGCAACCCTCCTGCCTCAGCCTCCAGAGTAGCTGGGATTACAGGCGTCCATCACCATGTCTGGCTAATTTTTGTATTTTTAGTGGAGACATGGTTTCACCATGTTGTCCAGTCTGGTCTTGAACTCCTGACCTCAAGTGATCCACCTTCCTCGGCCTTCCAAAGTGCTGGGATTATGGGCATGAGCAATAGCGCCTGGCCCTGAAGTTCCTATTACCACTCCCCGCTTGCTCGCCTTGTCCACGCCATGGGCCCCTCTGCTATTTTGAATACATTAGGCAAGATCCCACTTCAGAGGCACTTGATTTGCTCTTCCCCTTACTGTGATGCTCTTTCCCCAGAGAGCTGTATGGTTGTTCTCTTATGTCTTCAGGGCTTCACTTGAAGACCACTTTTTTTTTTGAGACCGAGTCTCCCTCTGTCACCCAGGCTGAAGTCCAGTGGCAAGATCTTGGCTTACTGCAACCTCCACCTCTCAGGTTCAAGTGATTCTCCTGCCTCAGCTTCCTGAGTAGCTGGGATTACAGGTCTGAACTACCATGCCTGTAATTTTTGTATTTTTAGTAGAGATGAGGTTCGACCATGTTGGCCAGGCTGGTCTTGAACTCCTGACATTAAGTGATCCACCCTCCTTTGTCTCCCAAAGTGCTGGGATTACAGGTGTGAGCCACAGCGCCTGGCCTCAAAGGCCACGTTCTCCATGAGGCCTTCCCTGACCACTTATTCACGTCGTGATCCTTGAAACATTCCCTTTCCCTCTCCCCAGTTTATTCTTTCTTCGTAGCATTTTTCACCTCCTTACACAGTATCTATTTCTTTCACGGGCTGTGTTCATTTTCTGTCTCCCCTCCCCCTTTTGGAATGTCAGCATCATTCTAGTTTAAATCTGTTTGTTTACTTCTGTATTCCCAGAGCCTAGGATAATGTCTGGCATAGAGGAGGCACTCAAATATTTTTTGAAAGAAAGAAGGAATAAGCAAATTAATAGAAGGTGTTCTGTAAATATTTGTGAAATTGAATTAAAAGTCAGAAGGAGACGACTGTGAAATTCCTGAACTCTAAAAATATGTGAGCTTAGAAGAATGGTGGAGTTGAGTGCTGCCTCATTATAAACATCCTCGAGGAAGGATTGAAACTGTGTGCCTGCAGTGGGAGGGGCCGCTGCGCAAGGAACCGTGAACCTTCGCAGAAACATTCGGGGCTGGCTGCACAAACCCCCGGTGAGAGCGCTGCATCTGGGAGCTGGCGATGCCGGCGGCTTGCCCATCCACCCCCTCATAACACTTGTCTGTGACACAGGTGTTTTTTCTTAAGTTGTTTTGCTCTTTGCCTCTCTCCTCAGATTGTGAAGCATACAGAAATCTGGGATGGCTGATGGGACACTTCTCAGCTCTAAGTAGGAAAACAGCAGTGAAAATGGCAACCAAAACATCGCGCAGGACTGGGGGTCTTGGGGAAACAGAGCTCACTTCAGAGCAGTGCAGCGTAGAGCTTTCTGTCTGCTACCAGGCTCCGCCTTTTACACTGTTTATCTGAAATTGTCTCCCTGGCTTACTCGCTTGCAGCTGCCCACTCTGCAGGAGGATGGCGCTCTGATCTCCCCGCTCCCTCTTCCGTCGGGGACTCCACAGTACATTTTTTCACGCTTCGTGGCTACTACAGCAGACGCTCGCGTTCTCATTATTTGCTGTACAGATCTCCGGTGCCTTGACTGTAAACAAAACACTTTAGATCATTGCGAGGTCGTTGTAAGCAAAGCCTTTCTGCTGGCAGCCAGACCTCTTAAGGTGGCGTGACTGTGACTTGCTTACTTGTCGAGATTAACAACAACAAAAAAAGCGACAAAATGGTGCTCCTACATCTTAATTGAAAGATTCAGCATGTGAAGGGGATCGAAGTGTTAATTTTCCACTTTCATATAAGACATGAATTCCACGAGTAAAATCAAACTGCTGTGGCAAGGTGAAATACTCTAGAATGTGTCCATTTACATATATGTGGGAGTTTGGGTGTTTATGCATATGGATAAATGCACATATATAATAGAGGGTTCCTGTATTGTCTAGCAATTGTTTTAAAATTAGGATAGCTATCTAATTTGGGGAGTAAGGTATAAATTACGGCAGTGAGGCCTACCCTAATCTTCCTGTCCCTTCTCTCCCAGTCTTCAATAAATTGAGAGCATTGAAAGTGGAAAAAATAAAGAGGATGAAACCTCCTGCTTGATCCTAGGTGAATTCTTTTCTGTCACTTAGGTAGAAGTCCTGACTTTAAAACTAAGTTTAGGCACGCCTCCTTTACTGCTCTCTGGGTATCACCCCTGTTTTTCTAGAGTCTGTATTTTAGTTGAATTAGTGGATGGTGATACCAAAGGACTGTGACAGCTGCATTTAAATATCAGCGACCACAGGTCGCATCAAGGAAACATCTGCAGGCAACCCAGGGCCTGGGAAGGAGCCATTTTGAGTCACTTGTAAGACAGCAGGACCTGCAGACTACAGCACAATCAAACCCAGACGAAACCCTGAACCAGTGAGGACCATCAGGAAGGAAAGGCACAGAAAATGAACCAACCCGAGTGGTAGGAGACCTGCAGCTAGTCCTGTATCCGTTACCAACCGAATGCATGTCCCTGGACAGGAAACCTCTCTGAGTCTCAGTTTCCTCCGTGGTAAAAACGAGAGGGTTAAACCACAGGGTCCCGAAGGTCCCTTCCAGCTGTCACATTCTGGAGTGTATGAGATGAGGTAGGCACACAAAGTGGACAAACAAGATGTGGCTAAGAAAACGAGCCACACATGAAGTTCATCTGTAGCATAGGTGCATAAGAAAATTAGGCTGCCGTGTGATACTAGAACGGAAGGTTGGTTTCCAGCAAAATGTATTAACTTTGGCCCAAACCGAGATGATGGGTACGGGGCATGGGGGTGGGGAGAGCAGCTGAAGATCCACTGAGCTTTGTCTCAGGGCAGCCCTGCTCGTCGTCCTACTTTACCTTCCACCACGGTGCTCAAGCCCACAATGAGAGAAATTTCCAGCTGCAAAAGGGAGCAGAGAAACGCTGGAATATCGGACATTAGGACATGGTTTGGTGGCTTTAAGAATCATTTCATCATCTGGAGTTTGGCCCCGAGGGGAGTATTTTCACCCTTCAGCCCTCTGAAAGCATTCACTAGCATCTGAATATTGTTCTGAGTTTGTTGGAGCAGTGAAATCTGGTGAGAGAGAAGGGTGGAGGAAGGAAGGAGCTGTTGTATTTGGCGGCTGGACCCAGGTAGAGGAAACTGCTACAATCCCGGGAAAGAACTGAAAAGTAGAGAGAGACAGTTCCCACACGCAGCCGACGTCCATGGCCTTAACTCTGCTTGGGAAGCAAGAGCCTGGGCCAGGGGTGTAACCTCGGTTTTCAAAACTGAATGTGTCTGGGACAGCTACAGCGTTTATTAATGGACTTGAGAGACTACTCGAGTTTTTTTTTTTTTTAAATCTTGAGTTCCTTTCTTAATTTTCATGGAGAGAGAGCTTGAGTTTATGGTAAGTGCCGCGTCTACTCCTGGCTAATTTCTAAAAGAAAGACCTTCGCCTTGGCTTCTTCCCTAGGCCTGCTACCTCCCCAGGGATGGCAGAAACTTCTGGATTAAGGCTGAGCGAACTACCACCCACCCCCAGCTAAGGCAAACCGGCCGGGGCGGTGCCCAGCCCCTCCAGCAAACGCTCCACGGCCTCCCCCACAGGCCGCGAGGTGGGGGCCACTGGGGAAGGTTGAGCTGGGGGCAGCTCGCCACTTCGGCTCTAAGCGAGCTGCTGGTGACCTTCGAGGTCCTCTGGTCTAGGCCCCCGGCTTCCCGGGCAAGGAGCGGGAGGTCGGGACTTAGGCGCCGCGCCGGGCCCCGAACCCCAGGCCCCGCCCCAGCTTCCCGGCCGTTTGGCTAGTTTGTTTGTCTTAATTTTAATTTCTCCGAGGCCAGCCAGAGCAGGTTTGTTGGCAGCAGTACACCTCCAGCAGTCACGCGACCAGCCAATGTCCCGGCGGCGCTCGGGGAGGCGGCGCGCTCGGGAACGCGGGGAGGAGGCGGAACGGCGCCGGGGCCACCTTAAGCCTGCGCTAGCCAGCCTCGGCGGGGCGGCTCCCGGCGCCGCAACCAATGGATCTCCTCCTCTGTTTAAATAGACTAGCCGTGTCAATCATTTTCTTCTTCGTCAGCCTCCCTTCCACCGCCATATTGGGCCACTAAAAAAGGGGGCTCGTCTTTTCGGGGTGTTTTTCGCCCCCTCCCCTGTCCCCGCTTGCTCACGGCTCCGCGACTCCGACGCCGGCAAGGTTTGGAGAGCGGCTGGGTTCGCGGGACCCGCGGGCTTGCACCGCCCGGACTCGGACGGGCTTTGCCACCCCCTCCGCTTGCCTGGTCCCCTCCCCGCCCCTCCCCGCCCTCCCACTCGCCAGTCCACTTGATCAGCGGAGACTCGGCGGCTGGGCAGGGGCTTCTCCGCAGCCCCATCCCGCAGACCCTGCGCGCTCCTGTAGCTCGGGCCGTGGCTCGTCCGGGTCCGTGTCTTTTGGCTCCGAGGGCAGTCGCTGGGCTCCCGAGTGTGGTTCGGGCTGCGTAGGGGCGTTTTGTTTTGTTTCGTGTTTTTGAGAGTGCGAGAGAGGCGGCCGTACAGACCCGGGGGGAAGATGTCAAACGTGCGAATGTCTAACGGGAGCCCCAGCCTGGAGCGGATGGACGCCAGGCAGGCGGAGCACCCCAAGCCCTCGGCCTGCAGGAACCTCTTCGGCCCGGTGGACCACGAAGAGTTAACCCGGGACTTGGAGAAGCACTGCAGAGACATGGAAGAGGCGAGCCAGCTCAAGTGGAATTTCGATTTTCAGAATCACAAGCCCCTGGAGGGCAAGTACGAGTGGCAAGAGGTGGAGAAGGGCAGCTTGCCCGAGTTCTACTACAGACCCCCGCGCCCCCCCAAAGGCGCCTGCAAGGTGCCGGCTCAGGAGAGCCAGGATGTCAGCGGGAGCCGCCCGGCGGCGCCTTTAATTGGGGCTCCGGCTAACTCTGAGGACACGCACTTGGTAGACCCAAAGACTGATCCGTCCGACAGCCAGACGGGGTTAGCGGAGCAGTGCGCAGGAATAAGGAAGCGACCTGCAGCTGACGGTAATGGCCCCTTCCCAACCGTAGATTGTTTGTGTCTGGGGGCCCGCTTTGCCTGCTGGAGGGTGTTAATCTCAGCTTGTTTTCCGGCGTATTCTGATTTAATTTTGGAAGGGCTAACTTTTTTGGTCTTAGGTTTCCAGTGCTACCTGACCCACTGCTTGTCTGTTTGTAACTTTTAAGTCAGAAACTGGAGATGGTAAGATCCGATAATTTCCCTAATTTAGGACGTCGCAGTCCCTCCCACTAGCCAGCCTTAGGTATGTGACAAAGTTGGGATGTTTATCAATGGTCCGCCTCCTGGCTAGCGAGAGCGCTCTGGGGCGGAGAATGCACTTTCTGTTTTTTGAAAACAACCTCATTTTGTGCCCTTAAAGGCCATTTGGGATGACGGATACAGGATTGTGGGTGGAGGTGGTGGGTTTTTCATCCCCTAAATATCGGGCCAACTTCTGCATCCATTGTTTTTTCTAACAAAGATTGTGTGTTCTTTTTAAAAATTTCCCCCACTCTTAGATTCTTCTACTCAAAACAAAAGAGCCAACAGAACAGAAGAAAATGTTTCAGACGGTTCCCCGAATGCCGGTTCTGTGGAGCAGACGCCCAAGAAGCCTGGCCTCAGAAGACGTCAGACGTAAACAGTTCGGTGGGTTTGATCAGCAAAGGAGCACGCACTGAAACCCAGGGCCTTCAGAACCCACGACACCTGATCTTACTGTTTGCTGGCAGATTAAAAGCCTGTGGGGTTTTGTTTTGTTTATACTTCGTGAGGTCAAAAAAGTAGCGATTGGGAAGGCTGGGAATCACTGTGGGGATACTGTAATTCTTCAAAGTTTCTTTGCCCGAAGATACTTTCTCTTGAAATAGTAGACCAGAGCAGCTACTGTAACCAAGGCCCCGTCGGGTAGGAAGGGCATTTTTCTGTGAGTCCTACTGAGACATATAACAATAAGTTCTTTCCCCATCTGAACAAGAATTGGGGTACTCCCTCAGTCCCACTTCATGAGAGTTAATTTCCCAGAGGTTCAGTTTGAGTCTGTAACATTTTTGAGCCATACATGGAAAAATGGCAAATACATAATTAAGTTTAAATTTTGAGGGGAATATGTGGTAGAAATTGCTCACCTTTGGTGATGCAAGGGATTGGAGATGTGAATAGGGTGTTATGTTGTGTTCTGTCTTTGACGTTTTCATAAACGGTCACTTTCCCTGTTCTAGAGAGTTTGTAGAGAGAAGGAATCAGTATTTACAAAAAGCAAAATGGAAAGATAAAAAAATTACTAAAGTTTCTCAATTTCTGGGAACACTCAAGTTGCAAAGCAGAAGTTAGATTAACTCTGTCAGTAAGCAATCCGTGAACAGGTCAGCTAGTGTATGCTAATTGTGCTGTAATAGGGTGATTTGATATTTGTAGGGGAAATGGGTAGTAAATATCAAGACTGGTGACCGTGGGTCAACCCAGCACAAAGGAAGTGGAGATTTTTCCGTACTCAAGAATCTGATCACCGTTAATAGCTAATTTGAATAATTCAGCCCCCAAATGTACATGGATTAGCTAGTCATAATTATCGAATTAACATACATATTAAGTTTGTTAGTGTCTTATAGACCAAGATTGTGACCTCTTTCTTTTTTAAAGCACATACATAGCTTAGCATATGAGGCGATCTTGATAAATATTGTTAACTTATTAAATCCTCATTTATAAAAATTTTAACAGGGATTAAGGTGGGATTCAGGTTTGTTGTGTCTTTAAATTGTGTATTCGACTTCACTATACCTTGTATTTTTCAGAGCTTATACAGAACGGTACTATAGAGCCTCTGTTTCATAGTACCATATGAAGTGAGAAAATTAGGTGAAAATTTTCCCGAAGCAGCCTTGACACTCGCAACTCCTGTTGGTTTGTGACTTGTAACCTAGCTCATCAGATGAGCCATGAGAATCAAACCTGGATTTTGATCTGGCCCCATTCTGACACGCAGAGAGGCGTTTGTTAGTAATATTGCCAGTTCAAAGAATACTAGAAATATTAGTAAGAACTTACTCAGAAGGATTCATGAATACATTCTGTGTATGAATAAAAAAATATTTTGAAAATGATGTTAATAAAATTTTCGTCTGGAAGACCTTTGTAATTTTTATTCCTAATCATTTTTCAAATTTAGAAAATTTAATATGTCACAGTAGAGAGAAAAATTTTTTAAATTTAAAGAAAATTTAATTTTTTAAATAAATTTATGAATAAAAAATTTGTAAATTTTTACCTTTAATTATTACAGTTTCCTAATTTTCCGGTTTCTTTCCCACTTGTCTGTGACCTAGATTTTTTAGACTAGGGTTTCTCAACCTCTGCACTACTGACATTTTGGGCCGAGTAATTCTTTGTTGTAGGAAACTGCCCTGTGTGTTTTAGATTGTTTGGCAGTATCTCTGGCCTTTCCCACTAGATGCCAGCAGCATCTTCTCCCCCAGTGTGACAACCTAAAATGTCTCCAGACATTGCCAAATGTTCCCTGGGGGGCAAGGGCAACACTGCCCACTGTTAAGAACCACTGCTCTAGACAAAAGTACACAGCATCGGAGAGGGAAAAAAATCCAGTTAAGAGAATATTAGGTGGAGATGAGTAGTCATCAGACTTAGAGTACATACGTTTTTCCCCATCAAGTTTATTTCCACACTAACGTAATGACAAAATAATTCCTGTAAACGTTACTCTAGTGGTTTTCCTCTAATTCTGTCTTGTTTTCTTTTGCAGAATTAAGAATATGTTTCCTTGTTTATCAGATACATCACTGCTTGATGAAGCAAGGAAGACAGACGTGAAAATTTTTAAAGTACATATCGCTGACTTCATGGAATGGACATCCTGTATAAGCACTGAGAAGCAACAACACAATAACACTAAAATTTTAGGCACTCTTAAATGATCTGCCTCTAAAAGCATTGGATGTAGCATTATGCAATTAGGTTTTTCCTTATTTGCTTCATTGTACTACCTGTGTATATAGTTTTTACCTTTTATGTAGCACATAAACTTTGGGGAAGGGAGGGTGGGGTGGGGCTGAGGAACTCACATTGGAGGGGGGGTATGAAGAGCTTGCTTTGATTTACAGCAAGTAGATAAATATTTGACTTGCATGAAGAGAAGCAATTTTGGGGAAGGGTTTGAATCGTTTCCTTTAAAGATGTAATGTCCCTTTCAGAGATGGCTGATACTTCATTTAAAAAACTGCCAAAATTTGAACACTGGCTAAAGATAATTGCTCTTTATTTTTATAGGAAGTTATTCTCAATTGGTGATCTGGTGATCTCCTAAGTTATCTAAATTGTTAGATAGCTGCATATGGCTTTTTTAAAAAAGCAACAAAAATCTACCCTGAGTGCCCTCCACAGCCTCTCTTAAAGTTGGAATTTCACAGTTAATTATTTAGCAGATTGGTAATCACCCCAGGTGGTTTGGGGCAAAAATCCGAGGTGCTTGGGGGGAGTTTTGAATGTTCAGAATCGACCATCTGCTTTTATTCAATTCGTTGACAAAATTTCTTCATTTTCTTTTCATTTTGAGCTGTGTAAGCACAGTCAAAATAATTCTAAATCCCTCAATATTTTTAAAGATCTGTAATTTCACATTAAAAAATGAAATAATTTTTAATTTAAAGCTTCCTACTCTGTCCATTTATCCAAAGGAAAGTGGTATTTTTAAAGAAAGGTTCATGTAGAGAAAATCATATTTGTAGGATAAGTGAAATGGATACTACATCTTTAAACAGTATTTCTTTGCCTGTGTATGAAAAAACCATTTGAAGTGTACCTGTGTACATAACTCTGTAAAAACACTGAAAAATTATACTAACTTATTTATGTTAAAAGATTTTTTTTTTAATCTAGACAATATACAAGCCAAAGTGGCATGTTTTGTGCATTTGTAAATGCTGTACTGGGTAGAATAGGTTTTCTTCCTCTTTTGTTAAATAATATGGCTATGCTTAAAAGGTTGCATACTGAGCCAAGTATAATTTTTTGTAATGTGTGAAAAGGATGCCAATTATTGTTACACATTAAGCAATCAATAAAGAAAACTTCCATAGCTATTCACTGAGTCAAATTGTAATGTGCTTTACCAAAGGAGGTGTTTGACCTGGCATTCTAGTCATATTTACACAAATGTAAATGTGAAGTGGCAAATATCTAGGTAATTCAGGCCCACAACCCAGATGATGTTTTCTGTAGTCGGAATGTAGTTAGCAGTTACTGTTTTCCACTTAGCTCTGTGTGGGTGGACAAAACTTCAGAAGGTAAAAATGGAAAAGCTACATTTTCATATGAATAAGATTGTCATAGTCTGCATTAGTGAAAACATCTTCTAGGATATGAACATGTCGGAACCAAAAAATCCTTACATAAGTGTACACTGATACACATTTGCAGGATTGAAAATGAAAGTAACATGGTGACTTCTCTGTATTTACACGAGAAGTGTTATGAGGAATTAAAGCAATTGTTTGGACCATCTAATGTATAAATCTTGCTTAAAATATTCACACAGGGGCCCTTAAGAAATTGGTGTGCACTCTACACTAGGTAGTTATTTTTGAAATTTAACTGGTTGTCATAGAAAAATTATTTCAATTTCTAAATATCCTTGTTATAATCTGCACAACCAAAAACTGGCTAATGTAACCAAATCTGAGGATTTTGAGTCTCTGTATCCATACAGCAGATACATATTTATTTACTGAAGGAAAAGAGTGTGAGAAAGAATTTTTAGATTACTAAAATGATTTCCTGTAATTCCACACTAAAAGAATGTGTTTAAGGTGTAAAATTGTTTTTAGTTGTAGGACTTACTTACTCTAGTAAGTGGGTAAATCGTAAAAATCTGGATTTGGGTTAAATTGTTTTGCTCCAATATCTATATTTGCAATTATCGTACCCCAAAAGGAGGTCTCAAATAACAGTTTCAACAGCTTTGACCCCAAGATTTTTTTTTTTTTTTTTTTTGAGCAGGTTGGACTCCGGCCTCCTGGAAGGGAAATATAGGTCCTTTAGTGGCTCGTCCACATCCTTCAAGTAGGTATTATTTTAACGAGAGACTAAAGGGGTTTTGTGACTTTGTTGAAAACTCGCATCCAAGAGTGTTTTTCAGAAACAGACTGAGGGAGCAAGAAAAACAATTCGAAATGGGGAGGAAGGAGTGGAGGGTCAGAAAATAATGAAAGTTCCTCTGAGTAAAAAAAAAGATAATTCAGAAAGTGTCTCTAACTGGAAAAAATATCGCCTGAATCGCTGCAGGCACCCCAGTCTCCTTTCGTAAAGGGGTCTCTTTGGAGAGAATTTTGAGAGATTGCGTTTTAGGAATGCGGGCCAGGGAGAAGTGGATGCTCGCCGCGCCAGGCACGTTCACGGGGACGCAGCCTCGAGTCACCGTATCCTTCGTCCTTTACCCGCCTGTGTCAAGCTTCCAAAAGTGACCCACAGTTCAGCTCGTCCTTCCCCGCGACCAGGTCTGCCGGGGCCGCCGCGAAAGTCTCTCTGCGGGGATGCGGCCGCCGGCGCCCGCCACCCCTGGCCCGGCTACCCAGGCCACTGCGCCGTCGTCTCCCCAAACGGCCCCGCAGTCCCGCGCCTGCCTGCCGCGGCAATCGCAAGGTCGGGCTGGCTGGTGCCTCGGGACGAAAGGGCCATCGAGTCGTGCTCCCCATCTGTAACGTGCAGACCCCGCACCGCCCCGGTCGTCGCGCAGAGTTCCCGCGCCCACAGGCCGCGCAGGGCGGCCGCGCCTCCGCCACACAGCTGTGCTGGGCGGTTTCTCAGAAACTTTCCTCCCTCATCCTCTCCTCTGCGCGGAGATAGCAGCGAAAGCCCCCACTCCTCTCCGCAAACGGGCGTTCCACCTGAGTAACCGGCTCCTCCCGGGCCGTGGGGATATCCGAGCTAAGAGGAACGCCGTCCCGAGTTCGCGGACCCTCGGGCGCGGCATCCCGCTCCCACCCCTACCCCGGGCTCCAATGATCCGCAGCCCCGCGCATTTCGAAAGCCCGCCCGGCTCGCCCGCGCCCGGGGAGGGCCACAGCGGCGCGCAGCCCAGCGCCACTGTCGCCCGCGGGGGTCCCCTGCGCCCTCACCCCCGCTCCGCAACGTCCCCCCATCGCATCCCCAGCTGCCCGGCGCGAGGGCCTGGGACTGGGGAAATGTGGACCTGGGGGCGTGCTTGGGGGACTTCGGGAACTTGGGCTGCACAGGCGGGGAGCGGGGCCAGCGGCCTCTCAGGCTGGGGTGCGCCCACCAACCCGGGCCTCACGGAGCGACTTTGGCGGAGGCCGGGAGACGCTGCCTTCGCCATTTCATCTTCATTATCACAGCGTCCACACTTGCTCTTCTCAAGCTTTCCGCACTGAAAAGGGTGATTCTAAAGCTCGTCTAGGATCTCCCGGGTCTGGTGTTCAGAGTCTAAATTTCTTTTTAAAACTTGCCGTGTCTTTCACCTGGGACACACCCTACGCCCACCCACCCCCTCTCCGCCAAAAGGGAGGTTAAAAAAAAAAAAAAAATCCTACTGGCGCAGCTGGGGGTGGGGAAGGGGCCCACAATCCCGCTGGAAAACTTCAACGGCCACCTCCCGGATCGGGGCTGGCCTGGGGGCCGGGCTGGGCTGGGGTGGGGTCCGCCGCGGGCTAACCCCGCGGAACCGAAAGTGCAGAGCTGACACGTAAGCCCCAGCCCCTCTGCCGCCGCCTGCGCGCCAGGCCTGTCACGCGTGGGGGCACACGGCGAGCAGGCATCAGAGCGAGCGGTACAAAAAGAAATCAAGGCGTTGGGCGCGCAACCTCGACGCGCCTCCGAAGGAACGTTGAGAAAAGGCAGGGAGCAGGGCGCGCGGCCCGGACGCGGGGCCGGGGGATTGCATCATTGCGGCTCCCCCTCCAGAAAACGGGATCCAAGCCGCGGCGACCATCATGGCGCTCGGGCCCGGCCGCGTTCCCCGCGCGCCTGCCCCGCGCTCCGGCCGCGGCCCTGGAGCCTAGGACTCGCATTTCGCAAACATTCTCGCCCTCACCCGAGCGCCTGCCCCACCCCCTCCTTTCCGCGCGCGCGCGCGCGCGTGTGTGTGTGTGTGTGTGTGTGCGCGCGCGCGCGTACGAGTGTATGTGCGCGCGTATTTTGTGTAAGGGGGACTTGCAGATGATTTTTTTCCTCTTTTTTCCCTCCCGTGCTGCTGGTTGTAAACTTGATTGGCATTGGCTGCGCCCACTGACCCCGACGCCGAGTCCGCTGAAGATTTAAGGTGGATCCGAGAGGCTGCAGTTTCAGGCGGAGTCTCGCGCTCCAGCTGGTTTGGGAGGAGGAAAAAAAAAAAAGAAAAGAAAAAAAAAGCCCCGAACCCCGCGCCCGCCGCGTTTTCCGAATCCCCCGCGGTCCCAGCTCTACGCCCGCCCGGCGCCCCCTCCCCGCCGCGCGCCGCCTCCGCCCACCTCCTACTTCTTCCCCATTGGTCGGCGCGTGCAGTTTGAATTTTTTTTTTTTTTGGATGCTTGTTTTCTTGTAAAAAATACAGCCCCCCACAACGTGTGGCGAAACCTGCTTCGGCGGCCCGTGGTGGGGGGTTTTGAGCCGGTTCGAGGAGGCAGAAGGGAGGAGAATGGGCGGAGCTTCTGTTCCAAAATTTTCCCCTAAGTGCGGTTGACAGTGTGCAGGCAGGCGGGGGTGCGCGGGGTGGTCAGCGATCTGCAGTCTCGCAGGGGCAGAGATGTAACCGAACCCGTTCAAGGATGTCCCGCGCGCCTTGTTGTCACCGGGTGCGGGCCGGGGGTACTCGGAAGGCGTGCGGGCAGGAGCCTGTCGAGGATGCACCTTCCCCTGCCTTGGAAAGGTAGAATTGGGGAGTGCGGGAGGGTGAAGGTGGCCCGGAAAAGAAAGAACACCT